ACACTTAGGTATAATTAGGAGGGCAAAGGGCTGTAGGGAGCATTACCTCAGAATGGGAAAGGGGGAAGCAAGATTGGGGGTGGGGACCATCAGGCCACGATGCCAGCTCAAGGGGGGAACATCCAACGCAAAGACTGCCCGTTAGAGGAATCCCACAGTGGGCAGAAATGGCCAGAGCTTCCTACCCTGCCTGGCTCAGTCAGTGGCCAGAGGCTGCTCAGAGACCGTGTCCCTGACTGGCAAGCTGAGGCAGACCTTGAAGGGGCCAACTGTGGGAGGCTGCCAGCCAGCCATCTGCACGCCTGGCAGCTGGGCCACAAGTCTTTTCTTGAAGGGAGATCCAAGCAGCATGTGTCTGTAGCAGCCTCTCCCATACTCTATATTACTAACAGCAATCATTTAAAAATAATATCTTCCACTTACCAAGAACTTACTTAGTGCCAGACTGGGCTGATGCGCATTAACTCATTTGACCCTCTCAACAACCCCATGCACTATTTTTGTCCCCACTTCATAGATGAGAAAACTGAAGCTCAGAGACGGTAAGTGGCCTGCCCAGGATTACACAGCTGTGAAGTGGTGGAGCTGAGGTTCCAACCCAAACAAGTAGACAGCAGTTACAGATGAGGACACTGAGGCCCAGCATTACACTGCCTGGCCGTCCACCATGACCTCAGTGGGACCCCTCAGACCTTCCCAGAACCACACCCCCATGGCAGATGCTGATATCCACAGACCTCATCCCACCACATCACCCTTGTCTGATCAAAGCAGTGCATTGCGGGGAGGGTGTCCTTCTCGAAACCTGCCAAGAGATGTTGCAATCCTCTGACTCAGAGACCTGCGTGCCGACCCAGCAAGAGGGAGAAAGGGGAAGATTAAGTCTTGGCCTAGGCCCCAGATGGGCTGATTCTGCTGGTGCCAGAGGTTCCAGCAGCTGCCAAGGCCCTAGGGTGGGGAGGAATCAGGAGGTGCAGGCTGCGCTGCAGGAAGCTGGCCTGCGTTCACCCTTGGGGTCGGGTAGGGGCAGTGCTGGCGGAGCTGTCTGCAGACCCGGGGTGGACTTCCAACCCAGAGTGCTGTGACCTTGGGCAAGGCTCTCCCTGGCTGGACTCACAGTCTCTGTTTTCCTTTGTCTGCAAAACTCACTCTGTTCCCTCCTCCTGGACCCTCCCTGTGCCTGGAGGCAGCAAAGGAGCACTGTGGAAGCCTATAAACCTTGCTAATCCCTGAAGATGCTGTTGGGTGCATGACTGTCTGTCCCGGCCTGAGTTTCCCCATCTAAGCCATTCCTTCCCAGGGCTCAAGGGTATCCGGAATTATAGCTGGCCGGGAGGACCTGCACTCTCTGGGACCAGTGACCAGCCCTCCCAGGTCAGCGGGTGCAGCAACCCAGGGTGCTGGGGTCACAGAGACTTAGCTTAAAATCTTGACACCCCCCTGTCCCTCACCACATGACCCTGGACAGTGACTTAGCCCCTCGGTGCATGTTCCCTTCTCTGTAAAATGGAACTTCAGTTACATTTTCCTCACAGGCATTGAGAGGACAAAGTGGGCCAATTTCTAGTGGGAGCTCAGCCCAGAATGAATGGGTCCATTTTGTGTCATCTCTGGGTAGAAAACAGTGACAAGGAAGGCCTGGTCTGATGGATTATAGCAGGCAATATGCAGACAAGAATGGACATTATTCATTCATTCTGCACACCTGGTCTCACTCAATCTTCTCAGCAATCCTGTGAGGCAGTAACTGTTGTCATCCCCAACTGTGAAGTCACCACAAACGCACAGAGAAGGAAAGTCACCTACCCAAGGTCACACAGCTAACAGAAGGCAGAGCCAGGGCTCTAACCCATGTCTCTAATCAAAGCATGTTGAATCCTAATTTCCTCAATGAAATGGGTCCTGCTGCTAAAAATGTGGGTTAATTGATTATAATAATTATTTTTATTCCTTTGGTTATAATAGGAATAACAATAAAGATGTTGCACTTTCTGTACATCAGGTCTTAGAGGATGGAAGGATTGTTTTCTTGATTTAGTCTGTTTTACAGGTGAGGAAGCTGAGGCCCCACAAGGGTGAACAACTGCCTGGAGTCACCGAGCTCACGAAGGTGGGAGACCAGACTCACACCCAGGCCCAGTGGGCAGCTAGGCAGGGCAAGATCCAGGAATTGATGGGAATGTATGGTCTGATCAGACTTACCCTCTCTTTTTAGATCAAGAAAGCTGCCACAAGCCCACAGGCTTCTAGCTGGGACTTCGTTGCCCTCTCAGGACTTGATCAGGTACAATCTTGACCCCTCCTTCCCCAAGGGAACTTGTGGAGGACAAGGTGGGAAGCAGCAGAGGGAAAGAGGAGAGGATCTGAACAGGTATAAAGGGCAGCCTGCAAGGGGAAATGGTTAGACACCAAGCAGCACTTCCGGGCCTTCGCTGGGAAGTCTCTGGGACTCATCCAGGGGCTGCCCCTGCCAGCAGGGGGCCTCCAGTGCTCAAGGCCCAGAGATGGGAGACCCCAGCCTTCCCTGCCTGGGGTGCAGGGAGCTGGGGGGAAATGAGGGGGTAGCCGTCCTGGTTCCGCATCCTCCGTTCCCGACACAGGAGGGAGGTGGCTGTGGGAGCTGGGACTTTCCTGAGCAGCTAAAGATTCTGGGAAATCAGACAGCTGCAGGGTGGGGCTGACTCCAGACCTCCCTTCCCTTCCCTCCCCTCAGTCCAGGCTCCTTCCCCAAACACGCCTCTCTTCCCTCCACTCCAAGGAGGCCCTCCTCAAACTGTTCCTCCTCCCTCAGGCCCTCAGATCTTCTCCCTCAAGTCTCCTCCTCCCCAAGAATTCACTTCCACTCTCAGACCCTCCCCAGAGCTCCTCCCGCTCAGCCCCTTCCTTTTCCCCAGCTCTCTCCTCCCTCAGAGATGCTCTCACCCTTGGTCCCTCTCAGACTCCCTCAGACCATGTGTCGTTTTCAGACTTGTCTTCCTCCTTCAGGTCCGCATCCCCCAGACTTTCATCTCTCACCCGCCCTCACACTCAGAGCCCCCAGAACCTCTCAGACCTTCCACGGCCCCTCTAGGCCAAGAGCAGATGCCCCCCAACCCAATCCTGCCTGGACCCAGAGCCATTGATCCACCTGCCACCGGGAGAACAGGTGTAGGAGGAACGCAGGTGTCCTTCCAGGGTCCCACTTCGACAAGTCCCGGCCCTCCAAGGCTCAGCTGTCCCTGTGGAGCTGGGGGGCAATGCTCGACATCCCATCCCTGTCCTGTGTTTGAGAGTCCCCAGAGGAGAGGGCCGGGTGGCTGGGGACCGCAGCACTTGGCCTTCCCCACCTAATCCCGTCACCTCTTCCCTTGCAGACCCCACAACACTGCGGGGCAGGGGGTGACCTCCGCCCCGTTTGCCAGAAGAACAAACTGAGTCTCAAGAGAGAGGACTTATCAGAGGTCCCGCAGGAGTAAGAGGCAGCGGTGGGGTTTGACCCAGGCCTTGACCCAGATGCTTCCCCAATACAGGAGCTGAGAGTGAGATCCAGAGACCGGCGGAGAGAAGGGGAAGGGCTGAGGCCTCTGCCCACAGCTGCTCCTCACATCCCAGGTTAACGATCCATTGGGGCGCAGCCCAAGTCCTGGGCAAAGTACCTCTGTGGAGACCCACTTTCAGGTCTCGGAGAGACGCTGCCTCGGAGACACGGGTATCCGCAGGCAGAAAGAGGGGATGGGTCCCAGAGACCGAGAGGAGGCCAGGCCTGGAGGGAAAGGGTTGCAGAAGCGGGGGGAGACACACACAGAGAACCAGGAGGACCCTGCGTGCCACCTGGACAGGTCCGGGATGCAGCCCCCACTCTCCCGACCCCCTAAATCCCCAAAACCTCCCCGTCCGCCTCCACTAACTCATTGACCGGGACTCAACCCCAGAGACGGTCCCGCCTCCAGGGAAATCCGGGAAAGCCCCGCGCGCTGGGGCCCCTCCCTGGGGAGGGGAGAAGGGAGACAGGGGCGGGGCCTCGGAGGAGGCCCGCCTCTGCCCCGCCTCCCCCCTCACCACCAGCCCCTGCCTCCCTCTGAGTCATTCCCCCAACTCGCCCGGCTTGTTCCCCACCCACAACCCCGCCCAGGGAGTAGGGGAGAAGGGGGAGCCAGGCTGCCCCCCACCCCCGGGCCCGGGCTCTGGTCTTGTGTCTGCGTCTATGCGAAGTCTCCGTGTCTCTTTCCCTCGGTCTCTCCGGGTCTCTCCGGGTCTCTCGGCCCCGCGGCTTGGGCAGGGTGCGGGGACAGCGCGGGAGGCACACTCAGTGCCCCGCCGTGCACTCCCCGCCCCCCGGCTCCCGCCCCCAGCCAAGCTCAGTCCGCGGCTGGGACGCACGCAGGGGGCAGACACGCGGGCAGGGCCGGCGGCGCATAGAGGCTGGGCGCCCGCCGAGAGCACTCCCTGACCTGGGTGCGTCTTTTCACTCCCACAAAGGAGGAAACGGCTCAGAGAAGGGAAGTGCCTGGTCAAGGTCACCCGGCGGGGAAGTGGGAGGCAGGACTCGAACCCGCGTCCTAGCGACCCCAAAGGCCCCAGGGAGTTGCCTCTCTCGGGGAGAGGCTGAGAGAGACAGAGGCTGTCAGGATACAGAGAGATGGCACACACCCATTGAGACAGTAGAGACGGAGACCGTGAGAACAGAGAGTCAGAGATCTAGAGAGATGCTCAGAAAAACACCTATTTACATCCGGGCAGGAGCGGCGGAGAGACAGAGTTACCGAGACTTAGAGATACAGAGATAGAGACACAGCCAGAGAGACCAAAACAGAAACAGCAACCGCGAGGCCCGCAGCCGCAGAGGGCGGGGGGGACCCCAGCCCTGACTCCGCCTCTCCGCCCCGCCCCCGCCGAGGCCGGGAGCCCGGGGCGCCGCGGGGCCGCAGGGGGCGGGCGCGGGCCCGGGAGCGGCGCGGGCGGGGCGCTCGGCGGCTGCACCGCGGAGCGGCGGAGCGACGGCAGGTCCAGGAAACCCCTGGGGCGGACGGGTGGCCCCGGGGGGGCCGGGGGCGGGGAGGCGGGCGGCCGGCACCGCCCCGGCCGACAAAAGTCCCTTCAGTTCAGCCGGCGGCAGGGGAAGTCCCGGCGCCCGGCGCAGCCACCCTCCCGGGACACCAAGCCGAGCTGCGCTCCGGCCGCCCGCTCGGCCGCCGTCCCCGGCGGCCCCATGCCCCGATGCCCCGCGGGGGCCATGGACGAGGGGCCCGTGGACCTGCGCACCAGGCCCAAGGCCGCCGGACCCCCGGGCGCCGCGCTACCGCTCCGCAAGCGCCCTCTGCGTGCACCCTCCCCGGAGCCTGCTGCTCCCCGCGGCGCTGCGGGCCCAGTTGTCTCTCCAGATCCCCTGCGTGGCGGCTCCGACGTGCCAGCAGTACCCGCGCCCCGCCACGGCCTGGCCCGGCCAGAAGCGCTTTACTACCAGAGTGAGTGGCTCCCTCGGGTCAGGGGCTGGGTGGGGGCCAGACAGGGCATAGGGTCACCAGGGCTGGGGACAGAGTTCAGAACACACATAAAAGCTGTCCCAGGGAACTGAGCAACAGGGGCACAGAATTCAAGGCCCCAGGGACACAGACACAGGGTTCCTGGGAAGCTGGGGGCAGAGCCTGAGGTCTCAGGGACAGAGATATGGGTGTGCTAGGAAGCTGGGTCCTCAGGGGGCTCTGGGGCACAGAGCCCAGGGGCTAAATACCACAGATGTGAGGATCCAGGGGACAGTGCATAGCAGTACAGATAGGGGGTCTCATGGAATCCAGGGGGCAGAAACTGTAGTCTCAGGAACACAGATTGAAAAACCCAGATATTCAGGGTTATGGGGAATCAGTACCTGGGCCCAAGAAACGGGTTCATGGAATCCAGAGAGATGGGGTCAAAGGGAGTCAGGGGAACAGAGACTGAAGTTCTAAGGAGAAAGATATTAGGGATCCCAGGCAATGAAAACTCAGGAACCAGGAAATCAAGGGACAGTGGGAATGAGAACAGAGTGGGAGTTCTGAGCACTCTCATATCTGGAGCCACAAGGATCCAAGGAAATGGACCCAGATAGTGGGAGTCCTGAGGAGCCAATGACACAGAGATCCGGCGTTCTGGGCACCTAGTTATGTGTGGTCACAGGGATCGGAGTCTCACCTGAGGTCACAAATTCAGGTGGCCCTAGGGAGCTTGGGAACTGAGGATTCTAGGAATGGGGGACGACTGAGGAATGCTAGGATTTAGGGCCAGGATGAATGATTCAGGGGTCTCTGGGCAGAAGGCCACAGAGTGACAAGACCTGGTACAGGAAAAACAGGGATCTAAAAACTTAGGGTTTCAGGAATGGGGTCTCCCGAGGATCAGGAGGTGACAGAGAAGGCCAAACACCATTCTCCCTAGCCCACCTCCACCCCTGATCTCAAGGAAGGGGCATCCCCTACCACATCTGTGCCCAACTCACCATCGCTGAGTGACCCCCAAAGCTGCAGAGGACCCACACCTAGTGCTTCTAGGCCCTTGCCCAGTCCCTACACCTTCCATCTCATCAGAGTTCAGCAGGTGGAGAGCTTCAAGCTCTGCATCAGGAACCCTGCCACTATCTCTTCCCCTTTCCCTTCCCTGGGTGAGAACTCAGGCCTCAGTTTTCCCCATCTGTGTGATGGGTGGGTATAGATTTGACTACTGCCATGGTCTCATCCAATAGTTTGATCTGAACCGGATTCTGCCACCACCCCCTCTCACCTTATGACCCACCCTTCTCATCAGACTCTCTACACATTCACCCTGCACCGTATAATTCTTGCCTCCCTCAGCCACAAAATAACACAGCAAACAGGTCCTGGGGTCCCCTTCCTTAAGGAACAGTTTGCCTACTGGGAGGTTGGGGGTCAGGCACATGACAAGAGACAATGAGAGTGACCAGGCTCAGGGGAAGCTGCTGGAGCACAGAAGGGGATGTGGAAGGGGAATTTGTCTTGGGCCATGAGGATCCAGTATGAGATGCAAAAGGGATTTGGAAAAGCATGCAGGTGATGGGCAGCAAAGGCCGGAGATGAGGAGTGGGGGTTAAGGTCTGTGATTTGCCCTCATGCTTGTCCTTTCTCTGTCCCAGGGCCTTTACTGCCCCTATATCCCACCCCGACCATGGGGTCCCCCTTTCCTCTGCTGAACCTGCCTACACCCCTGTACCCCATGGTGTGCTCCATGGAACATCCCCTATCGGCTGACATCGCCATGGCCACCCGTGCAGATGAGGACGGTGACACGTGAGTGACAGCCCCCATTAAAGCAGGGTGGCAGTGGGGAGTAGGGAAGACAGCCCTCTACCTGCCTTACCCACCACAACACAGGGGCACTCAGCTTGGGCTTTTGAATTACCTCAATCTGAGTTAGAATCCTATCTCTACCGCTGGCTGTGTGACTTTGAGCAAAGCCCTTTCCCTCTCTGAGCTTCAGTTTTCTTGTCTGAAAAAAGGGCACCCTTAGAGCACTTACCTCCTAGGACTGTTTTGTGGGGGCTTCAGATTTTTTTTATCACAACCCAAAAATGAGAAAGACAGTTCGTTGATTGATTATATGAATTATGTATGTCAAGCTCCTAGTGCCGAGCCTCATAGAGCATAACGGCTCAATAAGTATTAATATTATTGTTATTATTACTACTTTATATTAAACCCATCACATATATGCTTGACATATAAGCCTGTAATAAAAATCGCACAGAACAAAACAAGACTCACCCTGACTACATGGGATCTACTTTAGTGTTTCCTATTCTAGTCTATTTCATTGTTTCATGGTCACAGGCCACTAAATGAATTTGACAGTCTCTTAAATTGATTTCACAAATCCCATGGTTTGTTACCTGCACTTGGGAAAATGTTTCTTGAGGCTGCTGAGAAGTCCTGTACAGGAGGCTTAGCCCTGTGCTTACTTAGCACATAGTAAGCACTCAACACACTTACCGGTCATGATTATTATTATTTTATCGACTTGGGTTTGAATCTCAGCTGACCACTTACTTGTCCCTGTCTGCCTCAGTTTCCCCCTGTAAAAACAGGAATCGTATGTGTGTGAGGGTCTCTGTGAGGCAGAAATGAGATGATGACATGCTTACCTGGGAAGTGGTTTGGGGACTGGAAACCATAGAGAGGGAGAGGATGAACAGGCCTATTTTTGCAGGGAAAAGGGGAGCCTTTACCATAGGCCCACTGGTTGCCTTCACATCCCTGAGCCTCAATTTCCCTATCTGGAAATTGGGGCTCATAATAGCACATGTCACAACTAGGATTCAGTGCAAGGATGTATGTACATATAGTACATAGAACAGGGCCATGCGCATAGTAGGTGCTCAGTACGTGTGAGCTGGTGGTGTTCCAGCAGACTTCCAACCCAGGTGGTTGTGGGCCATCCGTGTGAGTCCAAGCGGGAGAAAGTGCTTGAGATTTATAAAGAGCTCAGTAGAACTAGTTCCTTCCTCCTCTGGGTGCCTCAGGGGTCATCTGTGAAAAAGATTTAATTTGTATCTGCCCCCAGGGGTAAGTTGTTGGCAGCCTGTGAAAGCAAGGTGCAGAAAGGGACCTGGCCTACCAGTCTCCAGCCGCGTGCCCCACCCGCCCTCGCCCGCTCTCCCCCCTCTCTTCCAAAGCAAACACTTCTGCCTCAGCTGCCTGCTGGGGGAAATCCCTTCCCGCAGAACCTGACCGCAGCCCAGCTGCTCTGCCTCCCCCACGTCAGCACCCGTCACTCACTCGCAGCCTCCCCCTCCTGGCGCTCACTCTAACCTTAACCCCTTCCGCTGGGGCCGAGTCTTTACCGGAATGGGCAGCTGGCTCAGTCCGGGGGCGGGGGAGGGGGACACGCTAAGTCTCGGGGCCGAAGCAGCAAAGCTTGGTTAGAAGCTGGACTTCAAAGGACTAAAGGGAGCAAGAATCTCAGGGTATCTGGACCTCCAAGAGGCCAGGCACTGGGGAGCTGGAAATCTGGACTTCCAGAGAGAAGGGACGTGTTCTGAGTCCCAGAGAGCAGAGGTTGGGGGGTCTTACAGTCCTTGACCCTTGAGGGGGTAAGGAACAGGGCGCAGAGCAGCTTGGGGATCTAGACGTCGGAGGGACTGAGGAAGGCCGTATCCACAAAGAACCAGGGCACCGTATTCCTGGGTGCGAAGAGATCTTGGGGGTGGATGCCGAGTTCGGGGGTTAGGGAGCAAGCCAGAGTGTTAAGTGCAGACGGGTGGAGCTCCAGAGGAGCCTCCAGGCTGGAGGACTTTGAGTCTTTCTTTATTCTCCAGGGAAGCTAGGTCTCTGGACTGGGCTCCCTCCTCCGCCGCCCCATTCGAGGATGGAAGTTGGGGTGCCGGGGGTGGCCGGGGTACATCCCCGGCGAGAAAGGCTTCCCTCCCCCGGGAGCAGGAAGCTGAGCCCCGCCCAGCAGACCTGTTACTGGAAGTCCGAGGGCTGGGCCGCCCCTCCCGTCCCCACTTCCTCCAGCCCCGCCCCACCCCCTGCAGCCCGCGCGTTTATGGGAACTCGGGCCTGGACGGTTTCTCTGAAATCATTCTCTCCCTCTGCCCTCACTTAACCCTGCCCGCCCCGAGAGGGACCCAGGCCGGGCGTCCTGGGAGCTGCAAGAAGGGCTGGGAGCCCTTCCTGGGGGCCAGGGGCCCAGGTCCCCCCAACATTTTCCTTTTAAATTTGCCTTTTACGGATCAGAATCCAGGTTCTGCAGACTCCTGGGAGATAGGCGCTATTGTGGGCTGTATCTGACAGCGGAGAAAACCAGGCTCACGAGCGCCACGTGACTTTGCCCTAGGACACAGAGCTAGAGCAGGTCGCAGCCCAATTTGCAAACGTGGCCTGCTTCGCCCCCCAAATACCCCTGGGCGTCAGGATTTCTTTGCCACCGGCGACGCATCTGAGGGAGCTGGTTTAAAACGTGGATTCTACCCATAGGAACAGAGATCAAATTTGTGGTTGCCGGAGTGGGGGGTGAGGGGAGGAATTAGGTAAAGGGGGTCATAAGGTACATACTTCCAGTAATAAGTTCTGGAGATATAATACACAGCATGGTGACTATAGCATTGTGTAGATGGAACTTGCTGAGCATAGATCTTCAAAGTTCTCATCCGAGGGAAAACAATGTAACTATGAGAGGGGATAGATGTTAAGGAAAAAAATTTACTGTGATAATCATTTTGCAATATATACTGGGAAAACATAATCCCTAAAAATAATAATAAAATAAAATGTGGATTCTGGATGCATATCCCATAACTGAGAGGACCACTCTTCACCTGCCTGTGCAAGGCCTGGTTAATGAGCAGGCAGTGGGGGACGAGAAAGTAATTGTTCTAGTAAAAGGACATCAAGGGAAGGTTGTGCAGCCTGTGTGCAGGGCCCTCAGCTTTGTGCCCTCCAGGCATGTGCCCCCACCCCTCACAGTCATCCCAGACAGCTCTCTGCTCTAAGTGGTTCTTCCAGGTTGGAGGCCATGGGAAGCAGGTGGTTTATCTGGCAATGAGAAGTGCTCTTGAGATCTATGCATGTGAGGATTAAGGAATCAGGTCTAGGCAGAGGGAGAAGCTGAGCTCCTATGCAGTCTCAACAGGGCCTTGGCTGTCCCCCGGGGAATGTTGCAGCTGGAGTGGCCTTCAGAGTTGGGGCCAGAAGCCTGGACCCTCTGTGCCAGCACTGACCGGCCACTGGATGCCACTGGATGATGGCTGTCACTCGTGACCTAAGCCAGCAGCTCTTTTCAGTGGAGGATAATTCCCAGAAAGAGCTGAGAGCGCTAACCTCCCTGGAAACTGGGAGAATGAGTCCTTCAGTCCGGAATGGGGGATCCCAGCACCCAAAATGACCCTTTTCCTTTTGGGCAAAACTTCCAGCACATAGAAACTCTTGGGTTGGAGACTGAACACAATATACATCATGTTATAACTGATGGAGACCTGAATGGCACATCAAGTTCATCCCCACTCATTTCACAGATGAGGAACTATGGCCTGGAGAGGAGTAGGAACATGGTCATCAGCTTCAAGGATGGCCAGGGATCATTGAGATGGATTCATTGGTTTGGTGCATGTTTGCACTGAATTCAGTGCCTGTTGGAGCCCACTCAGCATCAGCCACTGCCTTAGGTACTGGGCAGTGACTGAAGCATACAATACGCCCTGCACTGGTGGAGCTGACATTCTAACAGGGGAGATTCAGACAGGAAACTAAACTGTACAATGTCAGGTGATGATGTGGAGGAAAATTAAGCAGGGTAAGGGAAAGGGTAGTGAGCTGCAGCTGTATCATTTCAACAGAGGCCCGAACAGGGAGCAAGTGCTGCAGATACCTAGGGGAAAACTGTTCCAAGCAGAGGGAACAGCCAGTGCAAAGGCCCGGGGAGGCAGGCATGCTTGGTGTGTTTGAGGAATAGCAAAGAGGCCAGTGGCCAGAACAGAGTGTGGAGAGAGGGACTGAAGAGGGGGAGATAAGGTCCTAGCAGGCCTGTGGCCCATAGTGAAGAAGTTGACAGAGGAAGTATGACCTGATGTACGTTCTAAAAAGGTCCCTCTGGCTGCTACGTAGGGAGCTATCAGCCAGGTAGGGGTGGAAGCAGGGAGGCCAGTGAGGAGGGGACAGTTCAGGAGGGAAATAATCATAGCTGAAGCAGGAAAAACAGACTGAGGGTAGGGAGAAGTGGTTGCACTCTGGAGATACTTCCAAAGTATATGGCACATATTTGAGTTAGCACTGCTAAGAGTACGGGAGCGACAGGTGCCCGGCCCCTAATTACTGTGATCTCCCACCCCCAGGCCACTTCATATTGCAGTAGTGCAGGGCAATCTGCCAGCTGTGCATCGGATGGTCAACCTTTTCCAACATGGGGGTCGGGACCTGGATATCTACAACAACCTACGGCAGGTGAGGATGGGGGCCTGGGAGCCTGGGCTGAGTCCTGGAGGGAGGAAGAGCTGGGAGCCCTGACTCTTGAGTCTGAGGGAAGAGGTGCTCCAGATTTCTGGTTCCCGAGTACGACTGCAGCTGGGGTTCAGGACTCAAATTGTGAGGGAGACGGGACTAGGACACAGGGCTGGGCACAGGTTCCTCACAGTCTCTCTTCCCTAGACTCCGCTACACCTGGGTGTGATCACCACGCTGCCCTCTGTGGTCCGGCTCCTAGTGATGGCTGGTGCCAGCCCCATGGCACTGGACCGCCATGGCCAGACGGCGGCCCACCTGGCATGTGAGCACCGCAGCCCGACGTGCCTGCGGGCCCTGCTGGACAGCGCAGCCCCGGGCTCGGTGGACCTGGAGGCCCGCAATTATGACGGTGAGCACCCTGCCGGGCACAGGGTGGGGGCTGGCTGGCTGGACCGGAGCCTTTCTGGAGCTGCAAAGCCCCAGGCCCAGGTTTTAGCTGAGTCTCCCTGTCCTCAGGGCTCACCGCCCTGCACGTGGCCGTGAACACCGAGTGCCCCGAGGCCGTGCGGCTCTTACTGGAGCGAGGCGCGGACATCGACGCGGTGGTGAGCAAGCGCCTACGGGGGGTGGGGCCAAGAAGGGGGCGGAGCTGGCGTGGGGGAACGCCCGAGTGGGTGGGGGTGCGGCTGGAAGTCTACCGGGATTGAGCGCAGCGGTAGGGATGTGGGAGGCGGCCGTTTGGGCAGAGCTCGGAGAGACTCAAAGGCCTTCCCTCCTGCCGCAGGACATTAAGAGTGGCCGCTCCCCACTCATCCACGCAGTAGAAAACAACAGCCTGAGCATGGTGCAGCTCCTGCTGCAGGTGCGTACGGCCCCTGCCCCTGGCCTCGCCCACCCTTTAATCCGGCACCAACCCAGCTGTCGCCCAGTCCCTGGCACTAACCCCGCCTTCCAGTTCTGGCTGCCGCTCTGGTTCCACGTCCAGCTCTGACCCTTCTAGGCCTGTTTCTGTCAGTCCTGTGACTTCATCCCGCAGGCTGCGAACTTGTCCCGGGCCCTCTCCCAATCCTCCCCGTCCTCAAAACGGCCCAGGCCTGGGCCCGCGATAGCCTTGCTGATCCTGCCTTCCGGCCTGGGCCTTGCCCCGCGCTGCCCTTCCGCCCCGACTGGACCCTGGACCCTTCCCTTCGCTGACTCCGCCCCTTGGAGGCGCGCGCTGGCTGCTTAAGCGCGGCCCGCCCAGTCCGGCTCCGGCCCGCCCTGGCCCCTAGGTCCCACCCGCCATCAACCCCCAACCCCCGCCTCCGCCCCTGCCGTGGCCCCGCCCCCCCCGCGGTGCTGACCCGCGCTCCCGCCCGCAGCACGGCGCCAACGTGAATGCCCAGATGTACTCGGGGAGCTCGGCGCTGCACTCGGCGTCGGGCCGTGGGCTCCTCCCGCTCGTGCGCACGCTGGTCCGCAGTGGCGCTGACAGTGGCCTCAAGAACTGCCACAACGACACGCCGCTCATGGTGGCACGCAGCCGTCGGGTGAGTGGGGGGGGGCTGGGGGCGGCGCCTGCACCGGCCCGCGGGGGCGTGCCAGGTGTGTGGGCGTGTGTGTCTGGGCCGGTGCGTGCCGGGTGTAAGGTCCAGACAGAGGACAGACCGAGGCACCAGGAAAGGAAGTGCCTGGCCACCTGCCCGCGCTGAGCAGGAGGCTTGCACACTCACAGACCCCAGGAGCAAGGAGCCTGGAGAGAGGGAGGCCTGTGTGGGCGGCAGTGGCCTGGTGGTGACCCCCATCTTCCTTCAGGTCATCGACATTCTGAGGGGGAAGGCCATGCGGCCTGCGCCTGCGTCCCAGCCAGAGCCCGCCCCCGACAGGGGAGCCACCACCTCCCCTGAAAGCAGCAGCCTCCTCAGCTCCAATGGTGAGAACCCGGCTCCCAGGGCCAGAGCCCAGCCACTCCCTGCTGCGTGCAACTCAGACCCCAGGCTGTCCCATTTGCCCCCAGAGCCCATCAGGTTCCCACTGGTCCTCACTCAGGACCCTGGAGTTGGGGTCCCAGCCCCCTTCTCTCTGGATCCAGTTGCCGGTGCTGACCCCGCCCCTCTCTCTTCCACAGGTCTTTCTGCATCACCCCCCTCCTCGCCCTCCCAGTCTCCCCCCAAGGACCCTCCTGGATTCCCCATGGCTCCCCCCAATTTCTTCCTTCCTCCCTCATCTCCACCTGCCTTCCTGCCCTTTGCTGGGGTCCTCCGAACCCCTGGCAGGCCAGTGCCCCCCTCCCCAGCTCCAGGAGGCAGCTGAGAGCAACGGGGGGGCAGATCTCGGACTATGAGGAGGGACCCCCCTGCCCTCCTGGAAACTGTGAAGACCTCACTCTGCCCCCCCACCACCACCTCCTCATCTTTGGGACCACGATTTCAGGATTTGCACAGAGGCCCGTGTGTCTACCCATAAGTCCCCTCTTCTAAGCACAGATATTCCCCCGTCTCGTCCTCCTCAGGACTCTTACTCCCATTATTCTCAGGCACCAGTCCCCGCCTGGAATTCCACCCAGACATTCATTTCCTTCTCCCCCAGAGCTGGTGGAACCAGGGAATAGCCACTCCTCTCTGCCCGCTACCCAGTCCGTGAGGAGGGAGAGATGGGCTGTAGCCAGGCACTGATAACAATGTAAATTATTAGGCATTTCAGTTGAATTTCTTTTGTAATAAACTATTTTTGTACCATATCCCCGGCTTGGCTGGACCTTTTTCGTGAGGAGTTGTGTTTGTGTGTGTGCACAACGTACGCCGTATCCAGCTGACTCCTTGGAGTGACCTTTTTTGATTCCCAGACTGACAGTGACTGGTGGGTGACTCTGGGATTGATTCCCAGTATGTTTGTGAGCGTTCAGTCACTGTGTCACTGTGCCATTGTTTCTGAGGATGACGTGGTATGTAACATCTTTCTGGGGGCCCTTTTGAATTCCATAGTGACTCTGGAAACATGTAGTATGTGTTGCCGAGGGATTTTGAGTTTTGTGGGTCCCTGTGGTGGGACTCTGGCTGTCTCTGGGACTCTGCGTATGTAACATTTGTGAGATCTGCGGTCATCGTGTGATTGTTTCTATGTGACTGCCTCACCTTGTGGGTCCAGGGCCTCCGTGCATACATACAATGTCTGTGTTTTGACTCTGTGGAGGTGTCTCTTACATATTAATCAGGGTTTGCATTTGTTTTCTGTTTCTGCTGTTACAAAGCATCGTAAATTCGGTGTCTTAACACAAGTTTATTCTCTTAACCGTTCTAGAGGTCAGAAGTCCAAAATAATTTTCACTGGGTCAAAGTCAAGGTGTCAGCAGGCTGGTTCCTTCTGGAGGTCGTAGGGAAGAATTTGCTCCCTTGCATTTTCCAGCTTCTGGATGCCGCCTGCATTCCTTGTCTCCTGACCCCTTCCTTGTATCACTCTAATCTCTTGCTTCCATCTGCACTTCTACTCTGATGTCCCTGCTCCCCTCTTAGAAGGACCCTCTGATTACACTGGACCCATGCAGATAATCCAGGATAATAATCTCTCGATCTCAAAATCCTTTCATCACACCTGTAAAATTCTTTTGCCATATAAAGTAACATTCACAGATTTCAGGGATTAGGAAGTCGAACTCTCTCCTTGGGAGCCTTTATCGAACTGCCCCTAGGTCAGCTGCAATCAGAAAAGCAAGGTTACTAGGAGGTGGTAAGATGATTGAGAGATTTGTTACAGGGACTTGACCATCAGGAAAGGAAAACTGGTGTGGGGGAGAGTGAGGACAAGCTGGAACCCCGAGGAAGGACTGGGACCTTTATAGGTGCCCCCTGCCTTCAGCCTTGATGAATGGGGTGTCCTGGGGACAAGCTGGCAACCTTAGTCCCATTCTATTAGTCTTCATGAGTGACCACATGCTTGTGTGTTTCTGAGCGATGGTGAGTGGTCTTTTTTTCCAACCTGGGTCCTCCCTGGGCCTCCGGGTGTTCACGTGCTTGGCCATTGTGAACATTTCTGCTGCCACCACTCTATAACGTATTATGTCTGTGGAGCCAACTGCTTTAATCTCTTCCTGGAAGACACACTGTTGGGTTGCATGAATGGCTGTGTGTGGGGGGGAGGGGGGTGTACACGTGTGCACACATCGTGCGCGTGTACCCCTGGGTGAGCTCTGCCGGGGCGACTGGTATCAGTCTGCCACCCTCACCCAGATGACCATGCGTCTTGTGTGTGTTTTGTGACCACGTACCGGTGTTCCCGAACCTGCCTCTGAGCAACAATGACACGGTGACTGTAGCTGCCTGGGTTGGAGAGCATATTGGCTTCCTAAGGCCACTGTAACAAATGGCCACAAGCTAGGAGGATTGAAACAATAGACATTTATTCTTTTGCAATTCTAGAGGTCAGAAGTCTGAATTCAAGTGGTCAGCAAGGCCACACGCCCTCTAAAGACTGTCGGAGAGTCTAGAAGAGCCTTCCTGCCTCTTGCAGCTTCCGGCGGCTCCAGGCCTGCCTTGGCTGGTGGTTGTGTCACTCATCTCTACCTCCATCTTTACATGGCCTTGTCTGTGTCTGTGTCTTCTCTTCTGCCTCTTTAAGACAATTGTCATTGGGTTTAGGACCCACCAGATAATCCAGGATGATCTCATCTTGAGGTCCTTACCTTGATTACATCTGCAAAGACCCTTTTTCCAAATTAGGTCACATGCACGGGTTCTGGCGGTTAATGTGGGGATGTATCTTTGCAAGGAGCCGCCATCCAACCCACTACAGAGGGTGGCTGTTGGGCCCTGTAAGCAGCTGTCCGTGAGAACACCCCATGCGATAGTCCCCCATGTGTAAGGTCACATACAGTGGCTGCCTCTCCAGCAGACCTGAGCCCTGGGAAGGCAGCCCAGGGCCTCCTTCCCTGCTGCTGCCAGCACACCATCTGTCACCTAGCAGGCCCCCGAGAGCGATGGTAGGAGTGAGCCTCAGCCCTTCCCCACTGCATTACCGTGTCTGCAATTCTTTGCGGCTGTCTGTGGTCCCCTGTCATGCTGGGTGACCAGGGGGTGAACAGAAATGCAAATATTAGCAGCCATTTATTGACGAAGATGGCGCCCATATTCCAGATGAGGGAACTGAGATTCAGAGAGAGCAAGTCTCCGGTCCAAGCCCAGGTCTGCCACCTCCAAAGCCCATGGCCATAATCACTGGGCCCCCCCTGCCTCACAGGAAAGCTGTGTGTGGTTTGTCTATTTTATAAAGTGTGTGTAGGATGGACTGGTTTAAGTAGCATGTGCACCTGTGTGTGCTACTGAATTAGGTGTAGGGTAACAGATGGGTGGGTGACTGAAGGCACAGGCCCTGGAGTCAGAACTGAGTTTGAGCCCTGCCCTTCCATTTCCTAGTTGTGTGACCTTGATTAGATGACTTTATGGCCCTAAGCCTCAGTTTCCTTATCTGTAAAAGTGAAGACACAATGATAGCATCCACTATGCCGGGTTGCTGTCAGGATTAAACACGAATGAATTGTGTACAGTGCTTATAACAGGGCACAGTGCTGAGAAAGAATGTGATAAATGGGAGCTGCTATTGTTATCATCTGGGAACTGGTTTTGAAGACTGTAGGCTGGGGGTAGGGGGATGCAGAGATAATGCGACCTGCTCTCTGTCCTGATAAAAAAAAAATGGGATAACAAGTTCCTAGCCTAGATGTGTGTATTAACTAGACTTTTTATTCATCTGTTGTAACAAAAACCAAAGAAATATAATGGCTTAAATAAGATGGAAGTCTGTTTTTCTTTCATGTAAAGGTCCAGTTAACACTGGGGCTAGAATAGCTTGAAAATGTCAAAGACCCAGGCTCCTCTTACCTTGTTACTCTGCTGCCTTCACCTCACACTTACACCATGTGGTCCAATGCGGCTGCTTCTGCTCTCACCATCACATCCACATTCCAACCACTGAGAAGAAAAAGAAAGTCAAGTGTATGTCCCTGCCCTTTAAGACTACAACCCAGAAGTCATACGCATCACATTCTAGTGGCTAGAATTTAGTCATGTACACTACGATAAGAGCAGCTGGGAAAGGTAGTTTTATCAGGGCAACATATACCCAGCTAAAATTCTGAGGGTCTGTTACAAAAGGAAGAAGGGAGAACGGTTATTGAGGGACAATAAGTATATCTGTCACACAAGCGCTCTGCTAGCAAATGGCTACATGACCCTGGGCAAAGGGACTTCACCCCCTTGAACCCCAGTTTTCTCATATGTAAAATGGGAATAACACCCATCTCCCAAGGTTGATGAGTTGATGAGAATATAATGAGAGTGCATGTGCCAGGTACATTATCAGCCTGGAGTGCGTGTTGGAGTCTCCTTGTGCCTGTGGGTCCAGGCGGCGGGTGATGTGCCTCTCTGTGTGAGAAACAACCCCTGGGTTCAGGAGCTGCACCCAGCTTTGACCTTGGTAAGTTACTTCTCTAAAACAAAGGATCTGGCTTCTCCACACATGGAAATCCCCTCTCATCAGCCTCCTGACCTTGGGACTGTGCGCGTGTCCTTCCACACCCCACTCCTTCCCCTGGAGAGGGTCAGGCTCCGAGGAAGAGAGAGGAGGTTCATCTATCTATGGGGTCTCCAGCTCCCCCAGATCTCACTGAATTAAGATACACGCCTCAGCCACCACCACCAGGACTGCTGTCATCTGTGACAGGCCCAGCATTCTCAAGCCAGAGATCATACTTTCTGCGCATTTCTCGGGGGCCCCAGGCCCTGTTGTGAAGTTTCACTTGTTATCACCACCCTGGGTAAACCCAGACAGTCGGAGAATGTCTCTTTCAGGTGCATATGTGATATCTGCTAAATCTTAAAATAGCTGGCACCGTTCCAAAAAGACAATCAAGAGCATGAGAACAGAACCAAATTCATCTGCTGAGTGTTTGCAGACCCTCATGTACACCAAACTCTGACTCATGGAAAGGGAAACTGAGGCCCAGAGAGGGGGAAAAAACTGATCTGGTGAGTCTATGAGTCTGGGATTCCAGGATTCCTCTTAACCAAGTGATGGAATTCATCCTCCCTTAAAAGGACGACCAGCACTGTGTGCCTTCTCTGAGGACACTGTTTGACTTCTGGAGTATTCCCATCAGCAGAATCTAACCACAAGGCAGCACCAGACAAACCCGACAGTGGGAGGACGTCTTACAAAAGAACTAACCTGTAATGTTCAAACATGTCACTTCACGAAACCTTACCAATTGCACCAAACTGAAGGAGGCTGAGAAGATGTGAGAACTAAATGCCACGCAGGACCTCAGATTGGATCCTGGACTGGAAAAAACGCTTTGTTCTAAAGTATACTTTGGGAATAACTGGCGATTTGAATATAGGCCGAGCTGTTAGATGCCAATACTGCGTCACTGCTAAATGTCCTGAAGTGGCTAACTGTACAGTGACTGTGTCAGCAAATGTCCTTACATGTGCTTAAGGGCATAGGGGCGTAAGTCTGAAACTCACTCTCAAATGGTTCAGGGGGAAAAATGAAGACAGAGCAATGATAAAGCAAACTGACAAACTGTTAGCAACTGATGAACCTGGGTGAAGGGTATACAAGACGTCTTTGTCCTCTTCTTGCAAATTTTCTGTAAGTTTAAAAAGAAAAAAAGGATTGCAAATTTAAAGTCAGTTTATAAGTCTTTGGTTTTAAAGCTCTTTCTACGAGTACCGTAGTTTGTGCGCC